TACACACGCTGTTGGGGCCGATGGCAGGCAAGCGAGCGAGCCGATCAACACACCCTCGAAAAACGCACCCGCGCGTACCCTGCACGCGTGTGCACACGATTCTTCCACGTGTACCCGATTCTTCCACGGATAAGTGGTGGTCGGATAGATCGGCGTTTATTTTAAGGCCTTTTCTCCAGATCTACGCGGCCCCTCCCTCCCCCTTTCACGTTTTGAGCATGTTGATCAATTCATCAATTTTTGCGATTGCACGAACGTGTCGTTTCTAATTTATTTTTTCTAATATAACAGCGAATGTTTTAATTATGTTTCAATAATTAAAATTCGAAAAATTGTGTTCAGAGTTCTAGTTCCTTGGAACTTTTACGAAGACGATCTTAGCCCACTTCGATAGATGAAATGTTGATTGTTATAATAAAGTAAATAAAGATTGAGAATTTTCATTATATAAATATGTAATAGTTGAAAAATAGACCCCTCAAAATTAATGATCAAAATTAGAAATTAAATAAATTATTGTTCTGAAATGAAAAAAGGATCGTGAAAGATTTTCATTAAAAATAGAATTGAAAGTATATAAAAAAGAATTCATAATTTTTAGATAATTAATATCCATCGAATGAAGTAAAAAAGTTCTAACAAACATGAATCGAAACATTAATATTTTTCAAAGTAAAATATGGCACAAAATTGATATGAGCAAAATATCTGTCTATAAAATAGATTTTTCATTACTTTTCTCCATTGATTTTCTCGATTGTCTATTAAACCTTGATTCATTCAATCTACTTGCCTCGATTAAATCGATTTAAGATTAAAATCTCGTATAATAATACAATATAAATATTTTAATATGCATCCATTTAACCATAACCATATTATATTACTCGACATTTCTGTATCGTTTCAACATTTTCAATAACATTATAAATATTTTTCCCAAGAATATAAGCTGTTTATAGGCAAGTTCATAGATTGTTGGGTTTTATATGTGTTTATGAAACGATATAATGAGAACACATATATGAAATGAATAACAAAAAAAAATAAAAAAAATAAAAAAAATTAATTTGACAGTATATTCATATAATATAATATAAATTACATTAATAATCTGATTATTATATAATGGAATCAATATAAATATACTGTAAATTATATACTTATACATTGATATTCATATCAATGCTTGTTTCTATTTATTTTCCTTATTTCTTATAAACTTCTTATCAATAACATTACAAAAATCCATATGAAATTGCTGATTAATTATATAAATCATAAATCAGATGTAAAATCAAAGAAACTAATTAAATTAAATATTTGTACTTGTCTGAAAATTAAAAAAAAAAATTTTAGAAAATACCTACGAACAGAAAAGTAAAATTTTCTCTCGATAAATCGAGCATCGGCATTCACCCGTATGCACACGTCCATCCGAGAAAGGGAGAGAAAGAAGGAAATATCGGGCACAACCGAGGCAAGACCGACAGATGCGTGCGGTTGGTCAGGAATCTAAATATCGCGGCCTTGTACACCCCTTTGCCACCCCTCTTGTCCCATTCATCTTGAGTCTGACTCGACCATTAGCGGAATCCATTCTTCCAAGGATTTCGTTTAGCCGCATTTACATATCTCGCTGTTCCAAGTCCATGAAATACAGGCGTGCATGAACGCCTTTCGCCATGAACGCATATTTCCCTACAATTTACTCGCGAGGTGTCATTCATCTCGGGCCGATTGCCCATTAAAGGGGATAAAGATTCGCGGTTTGTCTGTCTCGTGTTTGTTTTAAAATAATTAAAAATCCGATGTCGAGATGCGTTTATACTTGGTAAATTATGCTTACGATGTTTTGATGTTTTGATGAACACGGTTCATGTACTATAATAAGAATAAAATATTTAATAAATTAAAATTGATATATGATACATGGTATATGATAATAAACTATTAAAAAATTAATTTAAAAAAAGTATCTGTAATTTGTGATATAAACAAGCAATATAATTTTGAAGAACAATTGTTATACATTATACCTATATTATTTGTTAAAAAAAGAGAATAAATAAATTAATTTATTATATAATTTAAATATTTAACTAATAGAATTCTTGTATTCTTATTTTTCAAAATATTCAAGAAAGAATAGAATATGAACTTACATATAATAAGTAAAAACCTGTATATAAAATTGAATAAATATATACAGTCATTACAAATATTTTAATAATACTAGCACAAAGAATTTATCTAATTCCTTATTTATATCTATAATTTTGATCAGTAATAAAAACAAATCCAAAACAACCAAAAAAAATGAAATTGCATCAAATTTTCTAGAATGTAAAATCATCTCAAACTTTTTGTTTTCCTTTTACTTTAAATCAATACCTAAACAAAATAACAGATTGAAAGCATGTCGGTATAATTTGAGGGTGTCGAGAAGCTGTTAACTTGGAACGAATTCTTAGAAAAAAGTTCAAAAATTAAAATATTCCTCGGAAATATATTCTTGGTGTGGATATTCGAGGCCAACAAAGCGTTAATGATCGATAGATCGAAGCGAGCCAGTTAAACGATCAGATTATCCGCGCTATAGGCTCTTATAACTTATTCCACCGATACGGAGTCTGATCGGATCGTGGTAATAGCTTCTGGTTACCGGTTGTAACCCGAAGCTCTCGATTTAGTTCGAAATCGATCAACGCATAGTGTATAAAAACGCTATCCGCACGTTAGCCATATTTAATGCGGGCCAATCCCTTCAGGGCCTCCTATTTACGTGGAATGTAAATCACATCCACGGGATTTTCGCTTCTTATCGATCGTTTTCTATTTGAATACAGACATTTTCAATTCTGCTCCTCCCTCGCAGATGCGTCACGTACGAATCTTAATTTAATGCACGCAACGTTCGAATTTCTCGCGCGTTTCGGATTGTTAAATTGTACGATACGTTGCTTGAATTGAAAGAAAGAATCGTGACGATCTTTGATATTATATATGTTTAAGATTAGAATATTGAATAAATTATCTGTTAAAAAATCATTATTTTATATATTGCATTTTGTTCATGTTTATGTTATTTCAAAAATATTCCTATAAATTAATCCCTATAGATTAATCCCTATAAATTAATCCCTATAGATTAATCCCTATAAATTAATCCCTATAAATAATTCGATAAGCCGTAAAAATCTAACCTAAAAACCTAAATGATATTTTCTAACAAAAAATATGCTTCAATGTTTAATATTCAATGTTTTTAAAATATAAAATTTACACGTCTTATATTATACATTATATTTTTAATCATTAAACGTTTTATTAAAAGAATCGATTTTAGATTCTATCTGTTATAAATAATCAATATGAATGATAAATATGTACTTATATAAGAATAGATGTTTCATCAATAACTAAAATTTTCAAATAGAGATACAATTCGAACGAATTGAAAAAAATAAATAAACTGCAATCGTGTTCCGTTTTTCGTTCTCGATCTAAGGTTAAGTACGCAGTACTACGGCCTTCTGTGCAACAAGTTATCCTTCTATCCCCACCATTTCATCAAATCAACACGTTTCTCTCTCCCTCCCACATAATCCTTTTTCCTTCGGTTTGACGCACCGATGTGCTTCTATACAACTATATCTACCTGTCTCTTTTCATTCTTAAGAATATTCCAGTTCTTTCACTCACCTTCAACATACGGTGTTCTCTGTCCTTTGTTGCTTCTCGATGCGACGTAATTTCTTTCCTCCTCCAGCACAACCTTACCACGTGCTTCTCTCGCACTCGTTTCTCTGATCTGAGTACAGGCATGTGCCGCGCATGCGCCAAATGCTACCGTGCGCAGCTCGTGCTGCGCGTACGCCAGAAACGAGCGTCCTTTCTTTTCTTTCTTGCTCTCACCATGTTCACACTACTTCCTCTGCCGGCTTCTTGGCTTTTAGCGTACTTTCTATCCTTCTTTCACTCTCTTTGTTCCTTTTATTGTGCATCTTTTTCTATAGTACCGTGCGCAGCTCGTGCTGCGCGTGCGCCACCAAGTACCTATTTCTCCTCCTCTTTCTTCCTTTACAGGAATTTTCCATCTCACTTCTACAACTTCTTACTACGATCCTTCGACGATTTTTATCCTGTTCTTTGTTTGCTATCCTTTATTCTTACTATTTCTTTCTACCTAACAGTAACAGTACCTCTCTTCCTCTGTTATACGATGGTCAGCTCGTGCAGAGCGTATGCCACGATGAAACACTTATTTTCTATCTTCTTTCCAATCACTATCCGTCCTTATTGTAACTTGTCTGGTCGTTCTATCTTCCTGCACAGGTTTCGTAATACTTTTTGTCTTTCTTTCTTTTTTCTCTTCATCGTTTTACTTTCTTTTGCTAACTAACCTTGTTCATCTCATGCTGAGTTTTTGTTTTTCTGTTGCACTGTGCGCAGCTCGTGCTGCGCGTACGCCACGGCCGTCCTTTCTTTTCTCTTTTGCTCTCGTTCGTCACCTCGCTAATCGTACATCCTCTTCTCTCTTTTTACCTTTCTCGTCGTTCCTTTTGTATTTCTTATTTTGTTTTCCTTGGCTGTTCTTTTATTCTTTTTCACTGTCTTCGTTACAATCTGCCTTTACCTTTAAGTGCGCGCGCAATTCGAGCTGAACGCAAATGTCAACCTTTCTGACTCATCTTTCTTTCTCGACGTTCCGATCCTTTCTTTGTTTTACTTCTTTATTACAGATTAAGAATTCACAATTTCCCATAAGAATTTAATAGTTTCCAAACCCGAAATATCCTATTAAAGTATCGAACACCAATGTTTGACACACTTCACTGTTGCAACGACGCCGACTTCATTTACACTAAATTTTCGTCAATTTGATTCCGCGCATGCGCAAAGCGAAAAGTTTTTACCAACTAAAGAATATTGAATTTAGCGGAAAAATTTAAAATGCGAAACTATTTGTTAAAATTAAAATGAAAAAATATAATAATTTTTCAATTTCATTTTATATTTATTTAAATGCAATTATATGTAAGAAAAATTAATAAATGAAAATAACTTTATAATAATATTTTATATTTATATTTTCGTGTATCTTTTTGATTTTCATTTATTTAAATGAAAAAAAAATGCAATATGTTAAATAATTTATTTTAATAAATAACATATTAATATTTTATGATACAAATAACAATTATTTAACATATTTCAAATTATCAATAGAAAATCTATAACTTTCCATCAGGAAATTATTTCCTCCTTTATTTTTCATACAACTATTATTTTATTTCCTCAATACCATATATAACAATGAGAACTAAAACAATGTCAACATTCTCACATAAAAAATTCACCGCAGCAACACGTGAAATGTAAATTACATAACCGGCAGTTACTACCTTTTTCCATAAGGGTGAACGATACAAACAATATCGAAGGGGTGGAAGGTACCTGCCCTTCTGCGCACCCGATCCTACGCACGTATGTACCTGTGCGAACGTTGTCTCTACCCTCTGCCCTACTCGACTTCGGTAACGCGCATGCGCAGCCCTTCAGCTATATAAGAGGAAGACTCCTCATCCTAGCTCACACTCAATCACACCTACTCAAAACGTGCGCATCTTTAGAGATAGAATCGAATCATATCCATCCATAGAAATATTCGTGTTGCAATCTTGTACACGTGTCTACCTCGTTCCATTTCCGTTTCATTTCGATTTCCCTTTACTTCTCATTCTCTTCCTCTCTTTCTCTCTCTCTTTCTCTCCCTCTCTCTCTCTCAAAAGAGATCTGCCTCGTATACTTGCCATACTTATACATACATACAAACCTATACATATACAAACGAGAGAGGTACGTACAGAGATCTACGTGACGTACACGAATCGTACAGGCCGTAAAGGCTTGCTCGATCAAGAACACCGAGAGTCCACACGCAGACAGTCTGGTTTTGTAACGTCAGGAATCACGACCGGTTTTTCTGCTGCATCGGCGTCACCATGAAGAGGCAAATCTCGAGAATAACCGTCAGTTCGATGACTGATCGACGTATTGACAGTGGGCTGTTCGCCAGACGGGCCATCAAGAATACTCTGTCGACCGTTCGAGGATTATACGGCAAGCTTCGGCGAGAGATCATTCATGTAAACGACAAGATCATGCGGCAGAGTCGCGTTAACGAGATTGGAGGCAGAACGACAGCGTTCAGGATGCATGTGGACGACGAAGAGTTGCGGAATCTGAGAAACGAGAATCTGGAAAACGAATTGAAAGAGCTGGCGATGAAAATGAACAGGAATTACTTCCACGATGTCCCGTTAGGAAGAAGACTACTCGACGAAGAGGAAGATGGCGAGGAAGATCGAGGAATCGAGGATCGATAGATACGATTAGTAAGGTCTTTTATTGTATTCCACGAATTTTAAATTTTAGCTTTAAGTTTAAAACGTCTTTCATGTTAGAAGTTAAGATTGTAGATTCGATTGCCATTTAACTCCTGGTTCGGAGCTTTAATTGCATTAATATCGAATGGATCGATTCGTTATAGTAAAGTTATAGAATTAAGAGAACCATTTGCAATAATAGTATCGTAAGGATATTTTTTTAAGTTAGATAATATTTTTAGACTGATTTAAACTGTGATATTAAGATTAAATATATCCAGATTAATAAATCGTAGATATAATTGCTCGAACTTTGTTCGAGGATATAGGCCGCCCAGTGCATATTCTATAATCTCAGAAATTGTGATACTTGCAGAGAAAATTTTATATTGTATCTTATTATCGTTGAAATTGTGATATAGGATAGGAATTAGGACTTCCAAAAAAAGCTGTGATATTAGAAATTAAAAGAAATTGCAATAATAGTTTGTAAATTAGAGAAACTGTGATAATAGAATGCTTTAAAGAAAATAAGGATTATATTAAATAAGTAAATTCTTTGATCTCATTAAATACGTGTCTTCCATAAAATTGCAATATTAGTTCATAATAAAATAATCAAAAAATTTTATATAGGAAAATTATAAAGAGAAACTGTGATAATTATTCATAAGATTTGTAATAATTTGTAAGTTAGAATAGAATTCATGGAATTATGGCTCGAGCGATATCTTGTGATACTTGTAATTATCCTGAGATCTACCTATTGATCCATAAAATTGAAATTTGTGTGTAGAGAAATCATTTTTGTGTCTTGGCTTATTTGTGAAATTTGTATTTTGTATGTTTGTATTTTTTTCTTCTTTTTGTCGCTTTGTTTTCTCGATTTGTGCACTTTGATTTGTAATTCTTAGGCTTATTCGCACTCTTTTTTGTATAATCGTTTTGCGTTTTCATATTTTTTTCCGATTATATATATGTTCCGATTTCTTTTGCTTTGTATTTAAGATATGCATGTATTTGTATTCAATAAACGAATTGTGTGAATAATCATGAATTTATTATTTGTTATCCATTCCCTATTCCTAATAATTTTACTAAGAACTATTCTTTTCTATTATATTTAAGATATTATATTTATTTATTCTAAATTTTGAACGATTTTTAGTAAGTGAAGGAAATACATATACATAAAAAGATAGTATTCTTGTTAAGAAAAAGAAAAATAGACACTCATTTCCATACACTTGTTCTATTGTAGTAAATGTATTTGAATTAATTATAATTTTAAATAACTATATTTATTAGTTTTTAAACTTTTGATTTTAAATTTTAAAATCTTTGAATAAAGTATTTAAAAAAGAATTAGATAAACACACAATATTTAACTGAATATTAAAATTAGAAGAATAAAGATATACATAATTTTACTTAAAAATATAATAATATTATAAATTGTTATTATAATATTCCTATAAAATATGTATAAAATATTAAATAATATTAAATTTATTAATGTTAATAATAATATTTATAATTATTGTAAATAAACATATATAAAGATATAATAAAAAATTGTGATAAACAAAATAAAGAAGAGAATTGTTCTGCAATTTTATATAAATTAGAAATTAAAAACAATTGTGTTTAAAAAAAAGATATTTTCAAAAGAATATTTTATATGATTTGAAATATTTTTTCCTGCTTTATTATGTAAATATTTTTTTAAAGTGTTGTGCACCATCTATTATTAGCCCTTTTAACTTCTCTAAACTGCATAGTTTGGTCTTGCTACGCTAGATGGCGATCATCCAAAGGGCCACTATGCCCTTCATATTAATAAACATAATCTATGATTTATTTAAACTATATTTTATTAATTTTACATACTCATCATTGATAAATCCAATTTAATTTATTATAAAATATTAAAATACACAATTTCTCTTATACATTGGAGAAGTAATATATATCTATATTCCATAAGAAATTATACCAATCATATTATTATTATTATTATTATAAATTTTATATTCTCATAAATTTTGTATACATAAGATTGAAAATTTTTATCAAGAAAAATAGATAAAAATATATATATATATATATGATATATAATTAAACATTTCACCTATATTTACTACATAATACATAATAATAAAAAAAAAAAAAACATAAAATAAAGATCAAGTAAATTATTCCATTGATATTACTATCAACTGTCTACACTTAATCATTACCTCAAGATCTCAAAAACATCTCAAGCATTCAGATCGAAAGAAAAAGAACGATAGATAACATAATCAAAAAGATACATAAAACCATTATCACATTGACGTGTACAAACTGTACCACTGAAAATAGTAGCGCCAAAGAAAGGAAAGAATGAAAAAAAGAAAGAGAGAGAGAGAGAGAGAGAAAGAGAGGAAGAAGGAAAAAGAAGATTTTTTTACATGTGGAATATCTTGGTCGCGCGTCCTCGAATGGAACTAAGATTAATCCAGCGAGTCCTGTCATTAATAAAGGTGTTCGCGATTCATCGGTCGACATTCGAGCGCAGACCACAAAAGGGGAGCAAGGTATTGCGGTATTAAGTGACAAGACACGCAATCGTGGCACGGAAAAAAGAAATGAAAAGAAAAGAGAGAGAGAGAGAGAGGGAAAGAGAGAGAGAGAGAAGGAACGACGGTCAGACGACGAATAAAGAAGTGAAACGAAAGGGGATGAAAAAAAGGAATAATAAGCGTTCGGTACGTTTCTAGAGGGATCGAAAAAAATAACTGGCATGGTTCAGATTACGAGCATTAACTGTCATTATACGGGTAGCCAACTACCTGAAGGCTTTCATTATGTTGCTGCTGATTCAATACAATTTTCCATTTAGATTATCGCGATGATCTTTCGCGGATCTAACCTGTTGCGTGGCCCTCAGGAAGCGCAACGTGATATGATCGGATCATGGTACGGCCCTAATGGAAAAGGAACTTTCTCTTTCTCGCTGTCTACAGGATCTATATAGACAGATTTTCTACCACCGCATAAAAGAATTCCATTGGCCATCCACGGGGCCTTAATCTGAAAGTGGCGTAGTGTTGGGTTACGTTTTCGAAACTTTTGAAAATATTGTCAAATATTTGATGCCGCTACAGGAAAAGGGGCCTTTTCAATGTGGGCCATGGGCGTTCGTGGGGATTAGATATACGATACCGCGTTTCGAATCTTCGTTCTTTGATGAACGAGATATTGATTTGGATCGACACAGTGTCTTTTGAAGGAAATAATAATAATTGTGATAATGCATTTGTGGTGTTAGAAAAAATGTGAGAAGTACGTTTTATAAAGAAGGATCAGTTGTGATCGAATTTTAATGAATGATGTAATATTTTTACAAAGAGAATAATTTGTAATGAAATTATGGAAGAAAAATAAAGAAAATTCGAACGAGAA